AGACTGTTGTTAAAATAGTTAATCTTCAGTAATGATACATATGTCGTCTGCTTAACATAGCAGTTTACATTTTGTAGGTTGCTGGTATTTACGTCGTCACTAATTAGTAGATTTAAAATGGAAGGTGATAAGGCAAACCCTTGTTTTATATCTCATTTTTGTTTAAAAAAGATGAGTTTAATCTATTGTATTTAATATTAATGAAACTGTTTTCATAAATATTCATAATATATGTGTGCGTTGATTTTATATTTAAAAAGATTATTCCAGATCGATTGATGACATACTAAGTCGAAGATTATTGAAATATCAATGATCTTCATAGGTTTAATTTATGAAATGTTGCTTTTTCAGATCTGATTTTTAAGGCTGATTAATTCAATTGTATCTCTTCCTTAACATTAGTGTTATTATCAATGTCTTTTATTATTAAGTTAAATAATAAACTAGAATTTTATTGGGTTATACTATAATCGCTTGGTGATTTAGGGATTGGTATTTTAGATAAATTAATAGTGGTTTGTTTGCAGATTTCAGGAAGTCTCAAATAATATGGAAAAAATAAACTTGAAAATAAATTTTAAAAAAAACTAAAATTATATAAATTCAAATCTTCATCTTGAATTTTTTTTCAATAACAATAAAATAAATTTTACAAACTCTTAAAATATTTAGGAGTCATAATTGACAGTAAAGGTGCAACTAAAAAAGCAAGCATAATTTCTAGGTTATCTATAACCAAAAAAATATATTATTCCCTCAACAAACTATGTTATTCAAATATTATTTCAAAAAAATTCAAAATCCACATATTCAAAATCTACATAATGTCATCTCTGTATAGTAGAAAAACTCGGGAAAATAATAAATCTCAAATCTTTATTAATAAATCCTTTAATCTTAAATATCAAATATCCTAACATAATTTCTAACATAAATGTCTGGAATCTTATCATAAACTTCCGCTTAAAAATTATTAAATTTTAGAAAAATAGAATTGCTTTGCCATACTTTAAGACACAAGTAAGCATTATCACAAAAGCTTTAAGATATAAAACCAATAACAAACTGTTGTAGTTTTGTATTTTTTATTAAATATTTTTATATATATCTTTTGAATTAGTTTGTTTTGTTAGGGGATTAATGAAAAAGAATGCATATGTTGCTTTGTCTATGTATTTGTGTAATGGAAAATAAAGTATGTATAAGAAGATCAATTGTTTTATGATGCAGATTATATATATAATATTAATAAGTTTTATTTTAAGATTCAGGTTTTAAATAATAAGTTTCATTTTTTGACAACAACCATACCAAATTCTGGTATGGTCAAGAAATACAAATTCTAATTAAAAATATTGTTAATAGTCGTTTCTTTATTAATATTTCTCAAGATAAACTACAATTAAAAGGATGGCTAAACGAAGCTCTTTTAATATAAATAATATTTTTAAAAAAAATATAATTTAAAAAAAAATTAAATCCAAAAAAATAAATAAAAACTAAAAAATAACAATAAGATAAACTAAATATATAATAAATTAAATTTTAAAAAAAACGATTCATTCATTCGTCCCCAGCAGATCCTAATTGAAGCTTAGATAAGTTTTATTTTGTATATCAAGAATCTTTCAATATAAAAACATGAAATGAAAATAATGATATAGAACTCATATTGAATATTTCTTTAGTTTATTATGAAGTCTGCCTCTTGAAAGAACCTATAAACGAATGTAATAATGCTACCAGTAAAATAGTTATAAACTACAACAATAGTATCTTATAATTTAACATTATCACAATTTCATACTTAAATAATTATAAAGGCAATTCAGATAACCCAAATACATCACAAAACTAGAACATGAGCAATAGGAGAACTTGCTCATATGGCTTTAGAATTATTAACATAAAAAATAACAATTTAATAACCATCCATAGACCACTCACTTTAAGATGCCCAGGTAGTAATAAACCTCCAGCCTCCCTGCTTGAACCTTCATCACTTAGCATCTCACCAGATATTCCATCACCACCTTTACTCTCAACCCCAAATGACTATCAATTATTTAATCCACCAAATGGAAATCCAACACAGGAAAAGATCTATATAAAAAATTATCCAATTCCTGATTTGGAATAATTTTTAACAAGCTATTTTAGCCCTACCATATCACGAATCCTAAAAGCAGCCCTTAAATTAATTTATCCTTTTTATATCAAAATCATTAATAATATTTTACAAAACCCAGAAGATCTAAATTGGAGAAAATCAATATATTTCCCAACATTAATATTATCAAATCCACCAAAAGATAATCCAACCCCACTATGCCAAACCATCAAAGAAATAATAGAAAACTTTGATCTTAATTTTGAAAAATTAACACCAAATATCAATGATCCTGCTAAAAAGACTTTAAATAACCCCTCACACAAACTAATATATAATAAGATTAATAATTTCAATCTAAAAGGATCTCTCCGAGCTCTTGCTAAAACACTTTGGCACCCAATAATATCACCACAAGAAATCAACTTTTAGAAAAACATCTGAGCCCCAAATACACTCCTCAAATACTGCCTATAATAAATTCAAAGATAAATATCACTCCCGGAGAAGTCTTAACCACTATTAAATCTTTTCCAAAAGATTCTGCTCTAGGACTGGATTACCTTCGACCCTCATTTATTATTGACCTCTTGGGTTTAGACAGTTCCGAATTTCTACTTAATTCTTTAATGAAAATTTTTAATCTTATTATCAACGGGAAATTACCACATAAACTAGCACCAATAATCTTTGGTGCTCGACTAATTGCGCTTGAAAAAGCTGAAAATCAAGTGCGCCCAATAGCTATTGGAATTTTCTACCAACAAACCATTTCAAAAATTATTTGTAATCGACTCAAATTTACAATAACCTTGCTTAGCTCCTTACCAAGTGGGATTTGGAGTAAAAGGAGGCTGTGAAGCCGCAATTCATTGCAGTCGACTAGTTTTCCAACCTCAAACCTGAAGATTATATAGCAAAACTAGACATATCCAATGCATTTAATTTAATTAATAGGAATAAAATGATCGATACATTCTTGGAAACATTCCCTGACTACCACAATTACATCCATTTTAGTTATGGCATTCCTTCCTTACTCAAATTTAATGATTATATTATTTAATCCTGCAGAAGGCCTCCAACAGGGTGACCCATTAGAACCACTACTTTTTTGCTATACCCTTAAACACCTAATAAGTGATATTGCTCTTTCATGCAAACTTAATCTACACGTTTGGTATCATGACGATTGTACTATATCGGGGACCATTTCTTCAGTCCAGAATTGTCTAGATATAATCAACAAACACTTTGATGAACTTAATTTATCCTTAAATATAAATAAATGCGAAATTTATCCTTCTCCGCCTCCAACAGACACCATATTAGTTAACTTTAGACGGCACCCTTACAAGATTTCAGTATAGGAGCCCTATTGGGAGGTGCAGAGGGAGTTTTTAATTTTTTAAATAATCACCTTCAATCACTATTCCCCAAACTATCGATCTTAAAAAAATTACCCATCCATCAAGCATATTACATTCTCAAAAACGGCCTTTTAATACCACAAATCCAGTATTGTTTAAAAACTTCTGGTGCCTTCTCTTTTGAAATTCTTTTAAAAGAATATGAACAAAAGATACTACAAATGATGACAGAGTTATTAAACATCAAACTCAATTCTAACTCATGGCTTCAAGCAACTCTCCCTTGTAAATCCGGAGGAGTAGGCCTAAGATCGGCATTAAGTATAGCCCTTGTTTCCTTCATTTCATCAACCTTATCAGTAAAAAATATTATCTCGCAAATTATTACCATCGATAAAGATAATTTATTAGATGAAGCCTTACGTTGTTGGAATATTAATGTCTTACCAAACACAGCCCCACCAGATTCAACGAAACAAAAAGATTGGGATCAAGGATTGGTATCTCGTTCCTTAGCTTATCTCAACTTGAGCGATGATCACCAATATAAATCCCTCCTAAGATCTCTTAATTTCAACAACTCTGGCCATGAATGGTTAGATTCATATCCCAGCATTTTAAATAACCAGCTAATAGATAACGACGCTTTTCGTTATGTAATCAATTTACGCTTGGGCGTACCTTTCCTAAACTATTATATTTGCATAAATGCAATCAGTCGGCAGACATGTATGGGAGACACTCTTCTCCACTGTAAATTTATATCAAAAATCAACCGACATGATAAAATAAATGCAATAATAGCTTCTTTTTTAAATAAAGCCAATTTTCCCTGTATTTTAGAACCTTCATCCTATTTAGATAAAAAACGCCCTGACGGCAAACCCGTCGTACCTTTTTTCATGGGAAAGCCTTTAATGTGGGATTTTAACATTGATCCCATGGCTCCATCTAATAATTCCCATGATTCCCTTAACAGAGCCGAATCTCTAAAAAATATAAAATACTCACACCTAATGTGTGATAACCACTTTGTTCCCATAGCAGCTACATCAACCTGCTCTTTTGGATAAGCGGCTTTAGATCTATTCAAAATAATATCCAAATCAATAAAAAAACATACCTTTCTCCATTTTACAAACTCAAGCAGAAAATCGGCGTGTCTATAATTAGATCTAATAATTAAATATATAAAACATCATGGCTCGGACCTCGCCATTTGATATTTTTTTTCTTTTTATAAAAATATAAATTTGTATCAATCTTTTTTTTTAACTTAAACTGATATATGACATATTTTATTAAATTCTCTATATTATAGTTAATTTTTAAATAATAAAAAATTGTAAAAAATAAATTAAATTAAAAAAAAATAATTAAAAAGTTTGATAGATGATGAATTTACTCTTTTATAGAGAATTGATCTAATGAATAAAATTTGAGCAATGGGCACTACGCTCATCAAAAATAAAAAAAATGACTATTATGGGGAATAATATAAAAATATTTCGAATTACAGTCCTTTCGTGAGCATCTTTCGATCTTTGGTAGATATCGTATAATTTCAAAAAATTGAGGTATTCGGAATTCAACAGTCTCCCAGCCCCTGTATTCAATATACGAAAGAAACAAAATTATTAAAATATATAATGAATAGAATAAATTAAATGAAGGAAAGAAGATACTTAATTTTAGAAGCCTTTCCTTTAAAAATTGAAATAAATAAAGATAACAGCTGTAGATTTAATGTAATTTTTAGGATTACATAAATACTTTGTTTGAGTGATAAATTGACAATTAAATGCTTTCTTTGTTCATTTCAGAGTTTTACAAAAATCTTCAAATAAAAATGTGAAGATTTTTTTCGCCCAAAATTTTGAGGAAAAAATCTTTGAAGATCAATTTTTTGCGAAGATTTTTTCGCTAAAAAAATTTTGAGCTTGCTCAAAGAAGATTTTTGAGCAAAATAAATATTTTTTGTAAAAAAATCTTCTATAATTTTGAGAAAATATTTTGAGAATTTTATAATAAAATAAAATCTTTTGTAAGGAAATCTTTATTAAAACATTTTTGAAATTTTGATCTTAAAATTTTTTGGTAAATTCTTTAATAATAAAATTTTTGATATATATATTTTTTTTATTATTAAAATATTTTTGGTTGTAAATGTGAGAATTGGTCATAATACCGACTGCATTTTTTTTTAATATTTGGAATAAGTAATAAGATTATTTTAAAAATGTTATGTCATAATTTTAATGTTTTATATTTAATGTAAACTATAAAAGTGACAATTGTCATAATACTCATTTCAGAACCTTTAAAAATAATTATAATTAAAAAAGGCTAGTTGAGCATGTTTTGAGATGGTTTCAGTGATTGTAAAGCATATAAAGGTGACAATTGTCATAATACTTATTTCACATATGTTTTAATTGAAAATAGAGAAAAATGATTATTTCAAACATGAATTAATATTTAATGTGTAAACTATAAAAGTGACAATTGTAATATTATTCATATCAGAACCTATAAAAATAATTTTAGGTATAAAATAGGCAAGAAAAAATTTTTTGAGCATGTTTCGAGATGGTTTTAATGATTGTCAAAATTGTCACAATCGTTATTTTTGAACTTTTTTAAAGCAAGTAGATAAAAAATTTATTAAATATAAAATTAAATGAGGATGTACCTTAGAAAAGTGACAATTGTCATAATCGTTATTTTTGAACTTTTTTGAATTTTTTTGAAGCAATAGAGTAAAATAATAAATTGTAAACATGATAAATTGAAATTTAAATGTGGATGTACCATAGAAAAGTGACAATTGTCATAATTGTTATTTTTAATGTTTTTTGAATTTTTTGAAGCAAAAGGGTAAAATTATATATTGTAAACATGTTAAATTAAAATTTCAGTGAAGATGTACCATAGAAATGTGACAATTATCATAATTGTTATCTTTGAACTTTTTTGAATTTTTTTAAAGCAAATAGGTAAAAATATATATTGTAAACCTGTTAAATTAAAATTTCAGTGAATATGTACCATAGAAAAGTGACAATTGTCATAATCGTTATTTTTAATCTTTTTTGATTTTTTTTGAAGAAATTATATATTGTAAACTTACTAAATTAAAATTTCACTGAAGATCTACCATAGAAAAGTGAAAATTGTCTTAATCGTCATTTTTAATCCCTTTTAAATTTTTTTGAAGTTACAGGGTAAAATAATAAATTGTAAACTTGTTAAATTTAAATGTGGATGTACCATAGATAAGTTCATAATGGCCATTTTTAATCTTTTTTGAATTTTTTTGAAGCAAAAGGGTAAAATAATAAATTATAAACATGTTAAATTAAAATTTAAATGAGGATGTACCATAGAAATGTGACAATTATCATAAACGTTTATTTTAATCTTTTTTGATTTTTTTTTAAGCAAAAGGGTAAAAATATATATTGTAAACATGTTAAATTAAAATTTCAGTGGAAATCTACCATAGAAAAGTGACAATTATCATTTTTAATTTTTTATTTAATTTTTTTGAACTTACAGGGTAAAATAATAAATTGTAAACATGTTAAATTAAAATTTTAGTGAATATGTACCATAGATAAGTGACATATCTAATTCTCAACTCCCTTTTGATATTATTTTAATATATATATTTTAAAATTATCACAATACTCATATCCATTATTTTTAAATTAGGTTAATATGATCTTGTTGGGAAACACTTAAACCTCTGGGCAGATGATAATAGTATCATATATGTTAAATTTTTTGAGCACCGGAATGGAGTTGAACTAGAAAGATGCATCAATATAAACATGATATTTTTGGGAACAACAAATTTAAAAATATTTTTTCTTTAATCTTTTAAATCAATTTTAGATCTTAGAAACTACTATTTGGATATATCTAGTAAAATACCCCCCCCCCCTCTGATTATACTATTCATACAAAAAATCTATTTATATTGTTATCATCTAAATCAGTCATATATATGAATTTTTATTTATTAAATTTCAATGTAAACAATAACTTTATAATGAAATAGGTTATATAAATAATGATTTAAAATATCACATTATTTAACCTAGTACGATTAAGCTTTATAATTAAAATATCATCAAGTATATCTTTGTCTAATCTTGTCCTTAGAGAGGTTACAGTTAGTGCTAATGCACTAAATGCTCTCTCAACTGAGACCTGGGTGCAAGGAGCAGCAAGAATTATTTGAGATAATTTAAATAATTCTGCATCTTGGTGTTTTCTTGAAACCCAATATTGCAAAATATCTTGGGAGGATGGCAATCTTTTGTTGGATAATAACGATTTTATTTTTAGCTTGATATCGCTATTACATAGTTCATAATATATAGGTCCCTTCTTGCAATCACGCTCAATGTAAAGGTCAAGTTTTTTTTTATAATCACTAGTGGAAGGCATAACTAGAGTTGTATTTTCTTCATGAGGGTCAATAGCTTGCAATTGTTTCCAAGTTGCAAATATATGTTCCTAAAATAAAAAGATGTATATTATAAATTTATTAATTTACCCTGGCCAATATTTTATCTTCTTCCAAAGGATATTTTCCATTTTCATAATGGAATCTAGGATCCATATATATCGCACTACGAAATGCTTCATTTTGAAAAAGATAGCTTTCTCTAATGTTTAAACATTCCAACATACTTTTAGATAAATTATCCATTTCCTCCAGCTCCATTTTGCATTCTAGCCATGAAGCAAAAAAATCACCTATTACAATATTACTTTTTTATAATTTCATTGTGAATTTGTATAATGGGAAAAGGACTGATGTACCTAATAGGATAATATCCCATAAATCGAAACTAATAAAAGTTTCTGGGTATAATTCACCCATTTTAGCATAAAAGGTTTTATTATCCATTAGATTTTTCATCATTAGATAAGTACTATTCCACCTAGTAACAGTATCCAGCGTGGGTTTCGAAACTTTGTCCATTATAAATAATCTTTTATATTTGTGAGATTTTATCAATTTAATTATAATACGAATTTTCTCTAAGTCTAGTTTTAAATATTTTTTGATAAACATGTTTACAGCAAGTTGTATAGTATGTGCAGAACATCTAATGCAACTTAAGCCAAAGCTTTTGCTTATATCATCTGATATATTTTCCTCGTCAATACCCTCTGGTGTTTCTTCATCAGAATAAACGGAGACATTTTCATCATCAATACATACATTTTCCTGATAAGTTACACTTGTATTAAATAATATTTGGCTTAAATTGTTTTCATTAGAATTAGATAGATCATTATCATTATTTAATTGATCTCTAGCCATAATGTCAACCATTTTAAGCATATTGGCGCAGTTGTCCACAGAATGCTATATATTTGTTTTAAATCTATCTGGTATTTTTTTAAAATTGTTTGGATTTCTTTTAGGTTTACACCTGTATGAATTTTTAGTAGTTCTATCATTCCTAGTGTTCGCACTTGTATCTGGCCATCTTTTATATACTGAACATTAATACCTAATATTGATTTATTATATCTAGTAGCTGTATCAATTTTTAAAGAAATTAGCTTGTTTTTTAATTCATGTATAATTTGAAGTCTAATTTCGGATGCGGTATATTTTATTTTGTCGACCACTGACCGAGTATTCATTTTCATTTGAAGAGCATGACATATAGGGTCTAGTAAAATACGGAAACTCTCATAATTTACTAAATTTATGGGTAAATTATGGAGTGTAATCAACCATACTATACATTCAAAAACCTAAAAAATAATTATTTATTCTTTATTTAAATATTAATTACTTTAGATTTATCGATCTTAATTTTTGGGAATTTTTCTTTTGCTGTATTTCTAGCATTGAAGGACGAATCACTATTATATTCATCTGCTTTCATTATGTTTGGGTGTTGAGAGGTTATGTGCCTTTTAAGATTTGCTAGAAAAATATATTGAAAAATACATTAAATAATTTATTTTACATGGTATCGACTTCATCTTTTTGTCACACATGCTGCACGTCGCTAAATTTTCAGAAGAATCGATTAAAAAATGCTCCTTTAGAATATCTTTGAGATTTTTTTATTTTGCATTATGTATAAAAAAAAAATTTTGTAATTTTTAATTTTAACTATCTTGTTTTTTCCTTTTATTTTTATTTTCACTTGTTTATTGTATTTTGAAATAAAAAATCAGGAATTAATAATTTTATATAAAATAAAAAAAATGAATAAAATAATTGTTTTATTGAGGCCAACAAATAAAACCCCCATTTATAAATTTGGGTGGGATACATTTATTTAATGTTTTTTTTTATTTATATTTATAAAAAATCAAATGTTAAATGAAGATATAAAAAATGCATTTTCTTTTCTTTTCGTTTTTCCCATTGTCTCTCTCTCTCTCCCTCCTTTATTTATTTTTATTTAATGTTTTGCCTTATGAATTAAAGAAAATAAAATATCTCAAAAAAATGAAATTTTCTGGTGCCAGCGAGGCGGCACCAGATTGAAAAAAAGTATTATATATTTTTTTTTTATAAAATTGAATTCAAAAATTTTTCTAATTTTCATAAATATATTTAAC